ATACTTAATGGAACATTAATTACTGCATAAGATTGTTTTTATGAAGTACTTACCTGGCTGACCCCAAGTAGTTGGGAGGAAGGCTTGATGTTCCACATCTATAACTCAATAGAGCAATAATTGCTACATAAGAATTTTACGACTAGAGGAAGGCTTTGTGCACCAAAACACCATAATTGTTGTCATCTGTCTGCTTCTTTACAAGGAACGCCTGTCTACTTGGGCAGTTGACATGGTTAGTATAGCATATTGGCCAATGAATCGCTTAAGCCTCACACCTTGAGGTAAAGCTTTTGGTCCTGTACCTGCCAACCCAAAATTCTTACTGTTAATTAATTGTTGCCTCTGGAACACATTGTGTTGATTTTAATAACCATGTTCTGAGTTCCAAATGACTGAAATGTAAAACATTCATCAATGAAAATAATGAATAAACCATGTTATTTCAAGTAAATGCGAATACAAAATTTGACAATAAAAATGTATCTGCTGAATTGAATTTTCATTAACATAAGAACCGATTTCATTTGATTTTCAGTTTATTTTTCTATTGAATAAACATATGCTCTCTTTTTTTGTCGAAAAAAATAAGCATATGCTTGGTTTATCATTTTGTTGTGCTTTTCTCCATAATCATTGGGTAAACATTTCCATATGATGATTGAGTTGTTTCCTCATATCCAAAACTAGTGAGGTTTTAATATTTATCATATTTGCATTTTCAGGTGGAAGAGAAGGGCTTAAGTGTTGAGACAGCAGACAAAATTGGTACCTTTGTAAAAGAGCGTGGACATCCTTTGGAATTGTTATTTAAGCTTAAACAGGAGGGCAGCTCATTTTTAGAAAACAGTGCATCTATAGATGCATTGAATGACCTGGAGATCTTATTCAAGGCTTTGGAAAAATCAAAGTGTATCGGAAAAGTGGCTTTTGACTTGAGTCTAGCAAGGGGTCTTGATTATTATACGGGAGTAATATATGAAGCTGTTTTTAAGGGGGGTGCACAGGTAAAATTATTTAAATGCTGTTGTGATTTCCTCTGCTTTCATTTTGCATGCTATTACTGTTTCTATAACCTGTCTTATGTGCCTTCTCTAATCTTGCCCTCTGACATTTGCTGTCGTTTCCTAAAAATTTCAATTCAGATGAGTGGTGCAAGTAGTATTGTTATTGCTTCCTCTCATTAACTTATGTGTTTCAAGGTTAATCTATAGATATTTGATTTTTTCATCAGGTTGGTTCAATTGCTGCTGGTGGACGCTACGACAACCTTATAGGGATGTTTGGTACAAAGCAGGTTCCAGCTGTTGGTGTCAGCCTTGGAATTGAGCGAGTTTTTAATATAATGGAGCAGCTTAACAAAGACCAGAATCAGGTAACTTTGACGTGCTTCTGTGTGTATGTTGATTAATAGTCTACTTATATTTTGGGTGAATTGTGTTGTTGGGTTATAATCCGATTGGTAGTGATAGGCTCTTCAAATCCTTGTTCTCCCAACTGGGTAACTAATAAAAGAAACTTTTATGAATTTTAAATTCATTAGTTATACATTTTTTAGGTTAATTTACACTATGCCTCCTGTACTTTTATCTGTATCTCAGTTTAGTCCTTAAACTTTAAATTGCTTCATTTTGGTAACTGAATATGGGTTAGTTGATCTAAATCAGAACTTCTCTTAATGAATTTAACAAAAATAAATAAACATATATGGTTTGACTTGCTCTTGGTGCATGGCATGCCCGAGTATAGTACATACATGTTTATTTATTTTAGCATGCTTGTATTGTATGAGACATTGATCTGTTCTTTCATATTTTATTTATTATTGTTATTATTATACAGACAACCCGAGCAACCAAGACTGAAGTCCTGGTGAGTGTATTGGGGGATGATTTAACGCAAGCAGCTGAGTTAGCAAGCGAGCTGTGGGCTGCAAAAGTGAAAGCAGAGTACTTGGTCAATAAAAGAATGTCAAAGCACTTTGATCGAGCCAAGGAATCTAGGATCCCTTGGATGATAATCGTGGGTGAACGGGAGCTGAACGAAGGGGTTGTGAGATTAAAGGATATTGAGGCTGCCGAGGAAAGCATAATTCCAAGAAGTAGAATTGTGGAAGAACTTCAAAAACGGTTGAGTTCATGATAAGAATATATTTTGTGGAGGCAAAGAAAAGAAGAACAAATCTCAAGCCAGATTCCCTTATCTTTCATTTTTCTTTGTTTACATGCCCCTTTCTGGGCATGTTAAGGCGCTCAAAACAGATATTATACACATTGATTTCAGATTCATCTCACATGTAATTCTGGTATTGCAATGCTTGGGTTCATGAAACAAGCGAATCCTATGATGAGTGATTTTGACAAAGTTTCGTTCAAGTTACGAGTTATTTTGGTCTCTATGTGCGTGGATTCTAGGGTTTTAGGTCTAATGGTCCCTGAAATTTTACCTTAGTGCGTGGATTCTAGGGTTTTAGGTCTAATGGTCCCTGAAATTTTACCTTATTTGCATTTTGGTCACTCAATTTCCAAAATCGTTCCTATGGTCCTTCAACTGCACTTTTGTTAGGACAAATGGTCTTTCCGTCAATTTTGTTATTTTTTATGTTAAATGCAGGGGTAAAATGATATTTTTGTATTATTTTTAATTTCCACCCTCTAAATATTCCTTTTACTCAAAAAATAAAAATAAAAACGAAAAAACCTTCTTCCGCCACAACCTCTCCAACCCAACCCCACCTAAACACACAACCCACAACCACCACCAAGCCTTCCTCACCCTCACCGTCCCACCAGTCCCAACCCCTCTTTCCCCAAGATGAAATACTCAAATGTTCTATTTATTTCAATTTTTTTTTTTCATACACAAAATTGAGGATATGAAATAGAATGAGGGGCATAAGCCATCGCATGGAGGGCGGGTATGGTTTGGGTGGAGTTGTGGGAGTGCCATTAGTTGTTGCCGGGGTGGTGGGTTAATTGGCTTAGTGTCAAATAGAGGTTGTCCATGGCTTTGTTGGATTGAAGGAAGGGAGATATATCATTTCTCGATCGTGGTGGGTTTTAATGGACTTGGCTTGGATTTAGTTTGATTTTAATGTACCTAAATACCTATATATATATATATATTATAGGTACATTATTTATAGGATATGTAATTTAGGGATTATTTTTTGGGTTCAAATTTTTTTAGAAATTGCCGATGGGTTAGAGGGAGTAGGATTTGCAATTGGGGTTGCCCACACTACAACCAAAACCGTCTTTATCTTTGAATTGTTCTCTCTTTCTTTCTTCTCCGTTTTGACCACTCCACCATACATGAGGGAATACAAGGGGCAGGATACTGATAAATTCTATGCCATGGGCTCTTGTGAGACCAAATGCTTTCAACATGATAATTCTCATCTCATGACTGTCTATGGCCACATTTGGCTATGATGCATCATGATTCATGAGTACCAAAAATCAACCCCAACTATCTCACCGTCGGTGCTTTAAGTTAATACATGAATGCGTCTCTGTCTAACTAGAAAGCAGAGCTATGGATACATAGGGATGGGAATAAAAATTGGGCTAGTGCCTTCATTTTAACTTAAAATGTTGATGTGATGTGTATAGGCGCGTGGCTATATTTTTAAAATATTCGAAAATATTCTAAGAGTATAGCTGCGTGTCTATACTTTTTAAATATTCATATTTATTATATTGTTTAACTAAGAGTAATTAGGTCTAGCAATTAGGAAATGCATTAAACCATACAAAGATATGAATTAGAAAATGACTTGCATGTTCCAGTTCACAATTCATGTTACCCATCATCATAAAAAAAAAAATGGCATAAGTCCATAGACAGTAACTCCACATAAGAGGATCGAGAAGAGTAAGAAAAGGACGCTAATCTCGTCAATGACATTTTATGCCTATATAATTATATGAATCTTTTGCGTTTCTAGTGATAATAAATTTGAATACCAATCACAAATGTTACATTGTACCATGTGTTTCTACGTCTACATAGGACTTCGGATGCACAAGTGAATGCTCTTAATCACTTGAGCTACATGTCCCCTACTAAACTACTCAATTAGTCTTAAGAAATGACTCAACCACTCATCGTTAATAGTAGTAATACCACCCAATTAAGTTAGGCGCAGTCCTCCTCAAAGTCAATCCACAGCAATAGGTTGGGTGTAGAAGATAATGCGAGCAGCGAAGTAAGCACATACACACTCATCTCCTACAACCTCAGTCCCTTGAGCAAATTGAGAAAAGCAAGCTCTTCTCCCTCACCATATTGGATTGTTGCTGGAGTAGTCGACTGGTTCAATAACTGCACATTAACTTTGATGTACAGCTCGCTGCCTACCATATGTATCAATATAATGTTGGTGTCGGCAGCAATGGCACTGTCTTGGTCATGGATGGGTTTGACAGAAAATATGAAAAGAAGAAAGAAAGACTCCTTTTTCCCACCCAAATTCCAACCGCTCACACGGTTCAACCCATCCATCAAACAAGTCGGCGGATCCATTAATCTCGCCAAAATTAAAGTAAAAGAACAAAAGTATAAATTTATTTATTTATTATGTGATGCGAGACCGCGAGTGACTGACTACCACAGACTCATCATATTCACAAGTTTCTCAAATTGTGACTGGCTGTTTCAGAAACTTTCCAACAGGCGCCGTGAGTTTAGCAAAGCCCATTCTCAACTTGTTCTGCAGGCAGCATTCTCTTCATTTCCTTGTTGCTTACCCCTTCCTTTCTTCCAACCTCAAAAATTCTCCCTCCCCCTGTCAAGAAAAGGACATCTCAAAATTCTCATCAATGCTTGTTTTACTTCCATCTCTTTCCCCCGACGCTGGCTCTAGCAAAATTCCACCACTGCTCATCTCACTTTAACTAATGACGTGGCACAAGCCCATTTGACAAAACTCCAACAAGTGCATAAAATTACAAACTTGACCTCTTGTGACCTTTATCTTTTATGTTATCCCCATTCTTCAACACCACAGGTGGCCCAGTTTGAGCGAGGGTAGAGGCCTCGTCAGCCATAATACTCTGCAGAGATTATCAAATACAGAGTGGTTTTGGGAAATACAGGGTGGGTTTCATTACAAAACAGGAGCCATCAACAAAAACGGTTCCTTTATTTTCGTGTCTTTACCAATAAAAGCGTTCTCTGTTTTTCAGTTTATTTTCAACACACCCATCTCTGCCCAACACACAAAATTAAGGGTTTTTTTTTTATTTGGTACTCTTTCTGCTGAGTTCTCACCCTCCAATTCCGAAACCCATCAATCAATCCCAGCCATGGAAGGAGGAGATATCGGTGACTGGGAGATGCTCCAAAACTCGGACCCTCCCCTGGTCAACTCAGATGACTCGGTTGAAAGCCCTAGGAACTTCGAAGGAATTGATGTTGACGCCGAGGGTATGATCAGGCCTGATTACTTCTCTTTGGATAATCAGGGCAAGTATGGGAAGGATGTGGCTGATGTCAGCGAAGAGGGTTCGGTTGAGTCCGACAACCCGAGCTGGATTGACCCGGGTCCGGTGACTCGCTACGGGGCAAAAGAACCGGGTGGGTTCTGGTCCGATTCGGGCAGTGATCGGTCCGATGGCCGTAAAAGTAATGATTTCGAGGTGAAAAACGAATTGGGTTTTGCGGGTAATGACAAAAGCCAAGTTGGTTTTGGAGGGATTGTAGAAATGGAGTATACCGATGAGAATTTGGGAAAATTCGGGTCTGGCAAGAACAAACTTAGTGGGTTGGATGCGGAAGGCCAACTGAGCTTTGAAGAAATTGGGGAAAACACAAGGGTTGAGAAGGAAAGTGAGATGGATTTTAGTGGATTGGATGGTGGAAATGACATGGATAAGAAACCAGAAGATGGACAATCAGTTGGGAGTCAAAGTGCCGCACCTGAAGTGAAACCTGAGGCAAAATCGGGTGCCGAGGTGGTGAAGAGGACAATCTTGTGGTGGAAGGTTCCATTTGAGGTCTTGAAGTATTGTGTTTTTAGGGTAAGCCCTGTTTGGTCCTTTTCTGTGGCCGCAGCAGTGATGGGGTTAGTTTTCTTGGGGCGGCGATTGTATAAGATGAAGAGAAAGAGCCAGACCTTGCAGCTCAAGGTTACTCTGGATGATAAGGTCAGTTATTGCAATTTTTATTATTTTCTTTTATCTAAGTTCATGATCATTAGTCTTCACTGCGTGTTATGGGAAAGCTTTGACTGCATTCAGGGTGTGAAAGTAGGACTATATAGTGTATATTATAAGGCTTTTTTGTACTTCAGTTTTCTTTTGGTGTGAAGAAAGCTTTTGCATTTGTTTATTTGTTCGAGTTTCTTACTTATTTGAAATGGCTAAAGTTATCTTTTGGTCCGAGGAAAATTTTGCACATTCATTTGTGTTTCTTATTTATTTGAAATGTCTAAAGTTGCACTTTCCAATCTTTATTACTTTTCTTATAGATAAAAAAAATCATAAGAATCATTTGGGAGTACTTTTTTCTTACACTGTTCTGTTTTTGTTTGACATTTTCTGGTGCAAAGGAATGTAGAGATTTGGTTTTATTCACCTTCCTCTGTTAATTTATTGTATTCTGCAATATCATTCATTTGTGTTTCTTATTTATTTGAAATGTCTAAAGTTGCACTTTCCAATCTTTATTACTTTTCTTATAGATAAAAAAATCATAAGAATCATTTGGGAGTACTTTTTTCTTACACTGTTTTGTTTTTGTTTGACATTTTCTGGTGCAAAGGAATGTAGAGATTTGGTTTTATTCACCTTCCTCTGTTAATTTATTGTATTATGCAATATTGTTAAAATTATTTGGGATTATGCTATTATGTTTGGTTACAAGTATTACATTTTTTCTTTCTTGAAATTTTGTTTTTTTTTTTGGGATAAGAAACAGAGGATATTTATTACTATAAAGAAGTCAAAGTTACAATAGAGTTGAACACGTAGTGAAAGTTACACAGACTTAAACATTCAGATACTTGCAATGGAAGCATTAGTAGAAGTTGAGAAGTTCTTGTCCTCCAAAAACTAAATCCCTGTTCCATTCCCCACAATAAAACATAGATTAGAAGAGAAAGAACCAATACCCCGCAAGATGACTTCCCAAGGACCTCTGCGGAAGCCACTATCAACTCATTTGAATTAAACCCATTGGCTTGAACCTCTATCCACTACTCTTATGCTCTCCCCTTTTGAGAGAATGCTCATCTTTCTGCAGTTTTGTTTGTTTTGGACTCTTCACTTACGATTAGCTGAGATAGGTACATGTCTATGAGGGGACGAAACCTATATCTAGACACTTACCTATATCAATTTTGAAATTTTATTTAAACCGATTCTTTATTTTCCTGGCTGCATTGAAGTGTAAAGAAACTTTGGGTTTAGAGAGTAATCAATGTAATTCAATTTTTTGAACATGTATGGACTGAGTGAACAACTAATGGCTTTAGAAGAACATGTAAAGGGCTTGCTTAATATAGGCCAGTTAAGAAAGCTCTGGGTGAAAAAGTAAAACTAAAAACAAAATATACTGTCAACGACGTTTATCAATTATAGTCTGTACTTTCAAATTAGCAAAGGGTCACATGTTACCTTTTAATGGTTATTTGTTTTCCTGTTTCATAATTTCAAGAAACCATGGATCTGAAGATAGTTGCAATAGAATAAACCATGGACAGATAAGGTCTTTTAGACCTTGTTTATTTCCTTTCGCAAGAAAGGGCATATTCATTTGGTAAAAATTTTCCCTGGAGTTCCTGGAATTCATACTGAGTGAATATTTTTTCAGCATTATCAGTGATCACAAGTAAGGTAGTCAGAGTAGTTGATTATATGTTGCATGAGATTTATAACACCTTTGCAAAGTACTAGTGGATATTTCCTGTTTTGGCCTTGTAGCCGGTAGAGTTAATTTGTTTTCCTTATGTTCTTGTTCAATTTACATTGGAGTAAAAGAGTGCAGAAATCCATGATGCTGTGATAATAAGTCTCATGAAATGGTTTGCTTTTGCTTATTTTTCGAATTATTTTGTGCTGGGGCATGAGCTCTATCTAGCTCTAGCCGTATTAGGTTGGGGTGGGAAAATGGTGGAACCTATGTTAGTTGTAAGCAAGAGGCTTTTATGGTAGGATTTTATTTACTTGTACTTTGTTATATGAGTTATGTGGCTTTACAAATGGGAACTTTGCTTCTCTGTTTTGACGTATATGTTGAGGTAGAACCTGGCATATCTAACTGAACAAATTTTGCAGAAGGTGTCTCAGTTCATGAGTCGCGCTGTGCGTCTCAATGAAGCATTTTCAGTGGTGAGGCGGGTTCCTATAATTCGACCTTCGCTGCCTGCATCTGGGGTAAATCCGTGGCCTGTAATGAGCCTGAGATAGAAAATTCTTGTTGTGAAGTACATAGAAAAAGAAAGTACTTTGTCCATGAGCTGTGCTAAAAGTACTAAAGTTCTTATGCCACGCTTTGTATCAAAACGATTGTACCTGTTATGTATTATAACTTTGAAATTTAGAATCTTTTGCATCACTCTGTAAAATGCAGACAAAAATTTCCGTTCGGGTACAAATTTTTACTTCTCTTTTCCCGTTGTCTAGTATACTTTCTTGTTTTATCTACATGTCACGTGTATTTTTCATGCCTGCCATTGGAAATGCAAAATCTCATGTGTTTGTTATATGATATTAGCAGCCCAGCAATGTGCATCCACCAGACCTTTTCCCAAGATTTTGTACACTAACTAATGTGGCAGGGTTTTATTTGTTTATATATGGTGTTACTTTAAACCTAATTTATTTCTATTTAACAAGATTCTGTGTAATATATTCCTCAGCTTTTGGTGACTAATAATATTAAGCTTCCAAGGTTTAGTCAAATTATTTGCATATTAGTTCACTTAACCTTACAAGTGAGCCTATTGGGAATATTGCAAAGATGCAGGAATTATTAGTCCACTGAACATTATTTCCTGGTCTTGAGCTTTATATTACAACTTCCATGGATGCATGATTTGGACATTCTACCCAGTTCTCATGAAATTTTGGGGAGATAGAGCCACCATAAGTTGATATGCTTCAACTCGTATGCCCAAGGCTTTCTTTTATTTCTTTATTTAATTACAAGCGATATTGGGTTGGGGGGGATTTGAATGCATGACCTAGAGTGTAAGAGCAATTGCTCTTAATCACTTGAGATACAAGTTCCTTGTGACTTTTTCAGAGCAAGGAGGGTTTTTTTTTTTGTTTTTTTTTTTTTTGGGGGGGGCCAATACCCCCCAAAAAATATTTTTT